TTTGTACGCGGTAATCTCAAAAACTACTGAACGGATTTTGACGAGATTTTCTCTAATATATTCTGTATCGATAGGAGAGTGACTTTTTTAATTTAGAATTTTAATAGGGTTGCCACCTGTCTAAAAAACTATATATCCACCGTTCGTTGGATTACAAAAAATGAAGTGTGAAATGAAAGCGATTGGTCCCTGGAAAATCACTAATGTCTTATTTTTTTAATAGGGTTGCCTCCTGTTAAGAAAATTACTATCTTTAATCCTAATAAGCGTAGTCGTCAGTTCTACACCGTCACTGTCAAATGAAAAGACTTAGCCTCTAGATGTGTAATAATGTATTATTTTTCTGAGTAGGGTTGCCACCTGTTTAAAAACTATTAGATCTTCACCATTCGTTGGATAAAATAGTGAGATAAGATAGTGAGATGAAAGTGCATGGCCTTCGCATGTACAAAAACTTTTATTTTTTTAAGTAGGGTTGCCACCTATTTAAAATAACTATCTTCTATACATAGTATAAAGGAGATATTTTGAGCACGCTACTGAACGGACTTAGACAAGACTTTTTAAGTATATAATAAACGAAGTACTTGATGACATATGCCATCTTTCTCCAAATACGTATATGTATGTACATACATATGTATACATTCAGCGCGTGGCGAAGCCTCGTGCATCGTGGCCGGCTAGTATCAAATAAAAAAATAGTTTCCTTTTTAAAACAATAAATTCTACAAATCAAAAGAAAATTACATTAAAAAAGAAAAAACCAAATAAAATTAGTTTTTAAAAATTTATCAAGAAAATAAAATAAATAGGACTCGAACTCGAATCTCTCGAACGCCACGCCAGTGCTCTGCTCACTCAGCTATTGCGACTGTTGCGGCAAAATGATATGAGTACTTATTTTTATATTTGATTTCAAACTGAACGAAAAAAGTGAGTAATGATACAAAACAAAGGGCCGCAACTGGGGCCATACTAAAATTTTTCATTTCATAATTTTTGACTCTGAGAGGAAACATGAATTAACTGATTTAACGATCATTAGTTAAGTGCCCGTTAGATATAATTTAATGAACGTTTCTGAGTGCGGCTGTAAGTGACATTTTTTGAAAATATAAGTTATACCCATATTTGTATGGTTAAATATAGTGGCCCGTAGTCATAGAGAAGTTAGAAGAAGGTTTTAACGATTAAAATTGTGTTTTATTGTAATCACCATTTTAACTCTTTCATAGTCAACTAAAAATGCATTTTATGGCAAAAACAGAATTTTAACTTTAAAATGAGGAGAACGCGGTTTTAAAATGGTAAAATAAGGTTCTAAGTTTTGTTTTGTTGTTGAAGTAGTAAAGGCAACAGCACCTAGGTTCGGTCCCCATTCCGAGCGATTCCAAACAATTTATTTTTTTTTTATTTTATATAATTTTTTTAACATAAACATTATTTAACTTTATTTTATTTTATTAAATTTTGTTTTATTATCTTTTTTTGTTTATGGTATTTCATATAATTATTTCGTTATTAATCAAATTTTTTGGAGTCTAACTTTACTTTAAAAGGCCACAACAACTATAATTAAAGAACAAAAATTTAAATAATATTTAAAAGAACAAAAAAAGATGTAAAAAAAATGTTCCGTGGCAGTGGGATTCGAACCCACGACTTCCCGGCTTGCTAAATCCGCAATCTTGCAGCGGACACAGGGTGAACTAATTAAAGTACTGATATTTCTTTATATTGCCGGGTAAATTTTTTCTCTTCATATGAATAGCACTGTTCTCTCTCATCTTAACAAAGAGCTGTTTCCAAGATTTCTATGATTAACAAAACTTAAAAATCTATTCTAAACTCAAAACTGTATTTTAACAAGAAGGAGTTTTAAGTTACGACTATGACTATTGGCCAATGCTTATTTGGTGACAAAGAGTAAACATTCTTTGAATTAGTTAATTAACCCGCATTCATTTAGGCAAGAATCATTTCAAATGCATTTACTCAGAATTTACAATAAGTAATCAACTTTAAACTTAATTATCTCAAAAAAATGTCGGACCTACTTAGATCATTTTGATTCTAACCCCTTCAATTATAAGGGTTGGTACTCAATGGTTTTACTAGCCCTCGTTGACTACAGGTAAACCGTGTCATATGTAATTTATACGTTCGATGAAAATACTCAATTTTTCATAGGTAAAGGTTTATACATATATATAAATGTTGCTACACCCGGCCGCTGCAACGATTCCCAAATTTTCGAAAAATCATCATTAAAACGAATTCTCAAAAGCTCTCTTCTAAGCGAGAATGCGAAACCAATATCTGGCACAAATGTTCCAGTCGTTGTGCTGGGACACTCAGCATTTAGCTTTACGCAATTTCTAATGAAGCCTTATACTTACAACGCAACAGCCGGAAATAGCGAAAAGGTGTTTAATTATCCACTTTCCAAATCTAGAAGAGTAGTAGAGAATGTCTTCGGCCACCTGAAAGCAAGATTTAGAAGAATTGGTAAAGGCATTGATAATGACATCAAAAATGCAACGTCAATAATAAAATGTTGCTGTGTGCTGCACCAATTTTGAAATCCAACATCAACGACAGCAACCAGAACCGCCCTATAATACTCAAAACCACAATCCCAGTGCAGCAAAAATAAGAGAATCAATCGCTTCATTTCTATGTACCTTTTAAATTTAATTTATTTCATACTTTTATTTTTGATTTCATTTATTTTATTATTAAATTCATTAAACCTACTTTAACAAATGCATAGTAAATTTTGGTTTGACTAGATTAAAATTAAAAGTTTAAATTCATTTCGTTTACAAACTTAAAATAAGGTAATTCATTTACTGACATACATATTTACTTCTATCTTCCCGTGCAGGTACATATAGTCACTTGCAAAACTGAGTATACAGTGATTTTTTTTAAATACCTATTAATAATGCCTTTCATCTTAAATATTTTTATTAAATATTATAAAATTAACAAAAATTACTTAACATGAGAACCATCGTGAATATTAAAAAAACACCGTAAACTCAGTTTTGTATATCGCTGGCTGAGTGGAAGATCGACCTATCTCGGCAACCAGTTCGAAGACGCTCTATCTGAGAAATTTTTAAACTACGCCCTATTTCAGAATTTTGCTTAAGAACGCTCACTTTTAGAACTTGATTGAAAAACGCCCTATCTCGTACATCTTCAATATGTTTTCGTGTGAGATAGGCCGTTTTTGAACCGAATTCTGAAATAGGGCGTTCTTCAACCGAATTCTGAGATAGTGTTTTTCAGTAAAATTCTCAAATAGGACGTTCTTCAATCAAATTCTGAAGTAGGGCGTTCTTAAAAAGTTTTCTGAGATAGAGCGTTTTCGAACTGGTTGCCCAGATAGGTTGATCTTCCACTCAACCAACGATATACTCAAATTAAATTCTTAAATTCCTTTATCTTATTCTAATCATAAATTAAATTTACTATTTAATTTTATTTATTATTTACATATGCAGCCTTGGCCAAAAGTATTAGGCACCCCAACATAACAAGGCTTTTAAATTTTTCTTTTGCTTATTTAATGTTTACTATTTTTTTTATAAAAGCGTGGCCCACTATGATTTTTTTTTGCTGACGGTGTTTGCTGATCATCAAAAATCAACGGGATTTTTTAGTAACTACTAAATACTACTATGCATACTATGGGCTAAAAAACTGCATAGGTAATTTTTTTCCAAAGATTCTGAATGAAAAGTTGGAAGTTTTGGTGGAAGTTTGTAGAATTTTTGTATATTTTGCACAGAGTTTGGAATTTGGATTTATGTGTTTTTTGTTAAACAGTGGGCCAGGCTTTTTTAAAAAACAATATTAAACATTAAATAAATAAAAGAAAAATTAAAAAAATCGTGTTATATTAGGGTACCTAATACTTTTGGCCAAGGGTGTAGCTCAGCGAAAACCGTGTAAAACCAAGTTCTGAACTTTGTAGAAAATTTAGAAAACATTAAATTTTCACCAAAACTAGAAGTTTTTTTAACTTTTATGAATGAAGCTTTATAGCCCTTTAAATTCTTGTACATAAATTGCAATGAACTACATTCCTAAATTTTTCATAAAATTCTTGTTAAAAAACTTGTAATTTTGGTGAAAACTTTTTAGTTTTTTCTAAACTTTCTACAAGATTCAGAACTTTATTTTACACGGTTTTCGTTGAGCTATCAACTATATTTAAACTAAAAATTTACCAAATAAAATTATTTATAAAATAGGTAATGGAAATAAATATAAATAAATAAGTAATTCTATTTAGGGTGATCTCCAAATAACATTAAGGCGGACACTTAAATTAAACCGTCGCACACTTTTTTTCCTTCCTCGAATTTGGAAATGGCCCAAAATTTTATTAGTTTTTTCCTTTGAACGCCTCCAGAAATTTTTTCGAGAATAGCATTCCGATCCCTTTCAATTTGCAGGGCTTCTTTGCTATCCTCTTGGAGCTCTTTCATTTCCAAAGCGATTGTTTGGTTAGCCGCGCGAAATTCTTCCATAAATCCATTTTCGAAATTTACACTCTCTTTTTTTCCTCCGCTTTTTCGGAGGTTCTGAAGAAAACTCGTCCAGCATTAAAAATTCAGGCGAAGGAGGAGTCCCTTGAATCTCAGAGGCCCTGTTGCAGAACTCTTCATCTACCACAATTTCAAGTGTCTTAACTGTAATAATTTAGAAAATGATAACCAACAAACACAGTGACTCACACTCACAATTATACAGTGATGTTTTTACAATAGCCACAATGTTTATCATTACATTTATAAAATATTCAAGAAAAAAATTCCAAAAGGAAAACATGAGGGCTGTTCCGGATCTTGTGCATATGCTCTTGAATTTGCATATTCGTTGCATTTGTAAGTGCACATCAATAAAATCTAAACAGTTGCCATGGCAGCAAGCATAAAATTTGCAAATGCAATTCCAACTGCAAATCCAAGACCATTTCCACATCATCCTGAAAAGCCTTATTGTGAATATTGTAAATAGATCACAGAACAACTTTGAGTGTGAGTCAGTGTATAAGCATAAGATTATAGTACTTCACCGTGCTAACCTGTACACTCCACCACTATTGCTTCCAAGTTAAAGGACTTGTAGACGCCGAAGATTTGGTGCACTTTATTGTAGTACTCCCACGCAGATGGTGTGCCGCCTGAAGGCCCAACAATCTTTTTCTCATCTCTGTGAAATAAAAATAATATTTTTACAAGTAATTAAATTTGCATAGATGACAAACTTACCTATATTTATTGGTTAAATTATGCATTTTCACTTTGATTTCATTCGCGGAAAATACAAAGCCCCTTGTGGCCATTTCCACCGCCATGTCTGTATATACATGGGAGTTTCGTTTGCAGCGTCGAAGTTGCAGCAACTTCTCCTCCCACCAATCCAGAAGAAGTTCGACTTCTTTATGCCATTGCGACCGCTTCTTTCTGTAGCATTAATAATATTATTTAATAGAGGTGGCAGATATTCGCGCACCTGTGACTTTGTTACGGTTACTCAAAAGTCACGGGTAACTGCTGTGACAACTTCCAAAAAGTCACCGTGTCAGACTGTGACAAAGGACCAGTCGCAACTATGTTTTTTCCTGAATTGCTCCTGTGCTGAAACGAGCTGTGACTCTGATAAAGTAGAATTCGCAATTACATATTGAGAAACTGTGACCAGTGATGTTAACCTTATAGAAAAATTCGTATAATGATAGGTTATTTAAGACTAAAATCTGATTAATGTTTTTTGATATTAGAATTTCACACCATTAAAAACGAGTGTGAATGGCCAAAACAAAAACAAAGGACGAAAATAGTTAGTGATGCGAAATAAATGCCCTTAGTTCACTCGGCAAAAGATTTCTGTTTTGCAGTATTGTTGTCACTGTTTTTGTCACAGTCACGGATGAAAATCAGTGTGACTGCAAAGTTACAGTCACAAATAAAGTTGTTCCTCAAAAGTCACGAGATCGCCCATCTCTATTATTTAATAAATATTTTATGAGAAATCTTTATACAAACCAGGCATTTTCAAAGGGTGCTGTTTTTGTGACTTTAAGCCTACTCACGTTAAAAACGGAGGATGAACGCACACCACCGCAAAGCGTGCTGTCTTGCAAATACAGCCACCACAAGTGAACGATGCTTATAACAGCTCATACTGATATTGACTTCGGCAAATCTGTACTCCGAATGATCGTGCACGAAACCAGCAACCGCCGTATTTGATCGACTGCCAAAAGCACGATACTGCTTTGGATGGTTGCCGAAAGCATGACAGCTTATGTGAAAGACTGGCGAAGGCAAGATGCCGCAGTTAGCTAACTTGATTTGTTGCAGAAGTCAAACCGCCGCCTTTGGTTTGTTGCTGAAGGCGCGTTTGACGTGTTGCCGAAGTGATGATACTGTAGTTCAAAAACATTCAAAGACACTTGCTTGTTTGAAATGAAGCATTTATATGTACATACATACATACTTACGTACGTATGCATATTCACAACTAGCCTACATACATGTATGCACACGTATGCACATTCCTTACAACTAGCCAGCAGTGAGCAATGCAATTGCACGATCATTCAGAGTACAGATTTGCCGAAGTCAATATCAGTATGAGCAGTTATAAGCATCGTTCACTTGTGGTGGCTGTATTTGCAAGACAGCACGCAATGCGCTCGTGTTCAGTCATCCTCTAATTTCGTTTAGGTATCGATACTACTAAGCCAACGCCGCTGCTCAGTCATACAAAGCAGGGGTATTGAATGAGTATGAACAGTTGAGGATCAACCAATGCCATTCCCTGATACAAACCTCTTTTCTTTGCCGGCGTCCATTTCGTTTACTTTTATCTTTGACGTTTCTCTTTTACTTCGTACTAATAATTATCGATAACACAGAAAACACAGAATTGTATGGAGAAAAGTATCGTTATCTTCTGAGATTTTTTTATAATTACAGATTGACGGCGGCCGAATTTTCCGTGGGTAATCTCGTAATTTAATTACAGATTGAGAGTTAATCTTGAAAAAGCAGATAATCTTGTTATATGTGAACATAATTTAAGGCTTTCTGCACATTGGTCGTCAAATCATAGTTGCTTCAACGTCACAATCATGATGCAACGATTGCATGACGACTACACTTTCGCACACTCGGTCGTGATATTTCAATTCATTTTGCGTCTAAAAATTCACTTCGAGCAGGTATTTTCTGTTTTTCTGGTTGATATTTTCGCGAAATATTTACAAAAACCTGCAATTTTTTAAATATGGACTGTGCTGCAACAATTCTAGACACAATTTTTCTTTAATATCTCTTCTTTTCTTTTCCTGAAATTTGTTTTGTGCACGCGCGCAGAGACTTTTTACAATTTCGTCATATTTTATAGTTAAAACTCACACAATTATTGAATTTTATTGGAATTGTCCACTTTTCAATAATTTCGACCCTATTAAGCTGGCATTTCAGGGTACTATTTTATATATATATAAGGAAAATTTGAAAGTTAGGGGGGGCTCGAGCACCCCTCTGACCCTACCTGGCTACGCCCATGGCCGTACTTATTCGTTTCTGCATCTTCTACGATTTGCCGATAACTAGCTGATAACGACAAGGGTATATATCCTTCGCATATATAGATATCCTTTGAAACGCATGTGCTCGGCTCAAAATTTCAGGGCGAGGCGACAACGCAACTATGATTGGACAAGTGTGCAGATAACCTTAGTATGCAGCTGTCAAGTAAACGATCCATTAGAGGTCTTCATCTAAAGTGATAAAGGGACAAATTGCTTAAATTTATCAGTTTATCCGCACTCTTTCATGAATGCACCTTGGTAAATAATTGCATGAGACTGTTTATTATTTAACGTATATGACTAGTTACGTTTCATTCTTACCTCGTACATTGTGTTCATTTGCTTTTATGTGTTCGTAGCGAAAGCGACTACCTGGCAACCTGTTAGGGTTGAATTTTGCTGAAATTTATACATTTAAAGTGATAAACTTTGGTTAAATAGAAAGCTTGACATTTCATTTATCAAAATGATAAATTTATCACTTTATCAAGTTTATAAAGAGTTTATCACTTTTGATGAAGACTCCTATTATTTCGTATGTGTGTCTAAGGAATTTTGACGTTTGATACTTCACAGCCTGTTGCCTCACCTTTCCTCAAGAAATAATGGATAATTTCAGTTGCAAACATGGGTTGACTTGTGGTCTTTTTTCACAAAAACCTCTAGAGAACCGTAGTAGAAAGCGTAGGAAATTTCTTAAGAACTGCGTACTGCCTTAAGAAATTTGACTCAAGAAAATTTCTTTGCCATTTCATGTACGTCATTTTATATGGAGTTTTTGCTTTTCTTGAGTGCTGCATACTGGCCTATATAGACGATTTTCGGTACACTTCCACCTTCGCTAAATAAAATTTCCAGAAATTTTCGCCCCGTCTAGGTTGTTGTTTCATATGAGCAGACAAGATTGATAAGAATTTTGTTAAGGTTGATTTCTGTTCATTTAAAAGCCCCCTGCTAAGCGTAAATAAGCACCTGCCGATAAGAGTTATGCTTCCTTCGATCCTTGACTAACAGTAAGCCGGCTTCTCAGTAAAGAAAGTTCCTTAAATATTAGTGGTATTCATCTAAACCGATACATTTATCAAGCAGATATTCTTATATATTTAAGCACTCTGTTACATGAACGCCCCATATTCACCTATCGTTTACACTTGCGACAATAGTCATGTTTTCTTTGGTTATCGAGCTCGTTGCATTATTTGGATTACAATGGGGACACTTTTGTAACAGAACAAAATTTTATGCAAAAATTCAATGTAACTGCAATGTAGATTTTTTTTGGGAAGAACATTTTTTAGAGTAAGGCACTTGAATAACAATCTTAAAAACAACAAAATACACATAGTCAAAAAGAAAATGAGAAAAATTACTTAATAAATGCATACATGCATATGTATGTACATTTCTACAGAAAAGTGATTTCGTGTACTTTTATTTAAAAATGTGGCAAGGCCATATATATGGTTTAGAAAAATGATAGATGTCAATAATCATGACTTTTATCAAAAGTGTTTGAAGCGAAATTAGCTTTATAGGGCTTTCGCACGAGGCGATTTTTCAGGCAACTTTTAGTTGAAAGCAAAAATCGCCTCGTCCGAACGGCCTTTCAACTAATCGCTTTCAAAAAAGTTGGTCGCCAGCCAACTTTGAGCTCGTTCAACTTTTTTTCCTTGCAACCCTGTGTTTGTTTACATTCTGTATCAGTGTTGGGAAATTAAATTGTTCCTTCAGTACGAAATCTATACAAAAAATGTACTTTTCGGCTATAATATATATATACATATATTTGTATCATGCAACAAACGATGCAGTATGAAAAAGAATCGATTTTAAACGAAAAAAAATCGATTCTTGCTATCTAACAAAAAGATCGATTAAATAGATTTAAATCGAATCGAATCCAGTTCTAGTTACTCCTCGACCTTAAAAAATAGGTCTAAAATAGTGTTCCTAAAAAGCGCAAAAACCACTACATTTACTACAAAAAAAAATTGTATTTTATTATACAAATTTTATAGATTTTGAGACGAGAATCACGATCTCATTAAAAAAAAAAACGATAAAGAATTTAAACACCTTAATTTAAAAATATATACTATTTATTGCATTTTTATAACCTGCTTGTAAGTATGCGTCCTTGTCACAATTGTATATCACTCGAACATAAAGCACTTTGTTGTGCTCAGTGTTGCCGTTGAGAATTTTCAGAAAGTCGTAAAAAAGGGGTGATTGACAAAAAATGGTCACCACATTATTTTTGCTTTTCTTTACTAGCAAAAGAATAAATCTGTTGAATTTAACAGGGTTGCAAACAATCACATAAATCGAGAAGAGTTAAATTTGCCTTAAGAGTTTTAAGTGATGCATTTTTTCGAACTAACACTTTTTTTAATAGCATGGTTTTGTTAACATTTCCTGAAAAAATCTCTCAAAAGGGGCAAAAGTCGCACATAATTTTGGAAAAGGGTCAAAAAATCAAAATTTTCAAAAAGTCGGGTCAAAGGGTGTTGGCGCTTAAAAAGGGTCAAATTGGTAGTGCAACTCAATATCTTTATTTTTTTTTATTTGAGCCATGGAAGAGTTCTCTAGGCCGTCTGAGAGCAGTTCCTGGGGATTCTTCCGAAATTAAAAACTAAATTAACGAAGCATATAACAGAGAAAAAACTCTGCACAACTTTTACGCTGTTGGAACAACATCAGTTAAATGCAAGCACGGTAAATGCCAAATTGGGACTTAGCTGCGCAAATAAGGCATTTCCATCAATCCTAGATTAAAAATAAGAGACTTATGCTTTGCCTTGAGGTCAGTTTGCTTGCAGAAAAACAAAAAACTATCGTGAAAGGAAACGCCAAATGACCGAGTCGGATTCTGCGACAGCCCGAAAGCAGTACATATTTCTATTTTCAATAGAAAAAAGCAGTACAAACATAAAAAAGGAGTACAATTTTTTTTTTATTTTTTGTGCAATTTATTGTTACAAATTAACAAAAATTAAACATATAGTCACATATTTCATTTAGTTTTTGTTA